GTTCTCTCTCTAGTTCTGACACGTTCTCGAAGGTTTAGTGTATCACTAAAGGTGTGTGATTGAGATAGTATAGGCTTGGAGCCTTTTCTGTGATTTTTTGAGTGGACGGCATTCCACGGTGGTTGTTGTTGGATTGGATCCTATTGGAGTTACTATCACTTTCTAGGTCATTCTTTCTAGCTAGGTAGGGAGCGTATCGCTAGTTGGGTAGACTCGGTGATATTGACGATCTCCCACGGGCCTCTCTTTCTAGCTGGGCTGGGAATGTGTTGCTGGCTGGGTGTCCCCGGGTCGCTCTTTATAGCTGGGTTGGGAGTTGACTGCATGGTAGGATGACTCGCGATATCTACCTCACTCATGGGTCCCTCTTTCTAGCTGGGTTGTGAGTAGACTGTTTGGTTGGATGCTTCCTAGTGTCACTCTTTCTAGCTGGGCTGGGAGTGCACTGCTGGCTGGGTGGAGTTTGATGGATTATCTTGGTTACTTTGGGCTGGGAGCTCGATTTTTTTCTTTCTCAGTAGACTTAGCTTTTCTGTGTACCTGTCGGGCTTATGGGGGTCCGTTCAAATTTTATTTGAATTTGTGCACGAGTGTACCTTCTTGGCTTATGGGGGTCCAGTTAGGTTTAGTTTAATTGTACTTAGTTTGTTTCTGGTATGCTCGTGTGCTTTCTTTTCATATCCGTTTTGACCTCTCTGTGTCTAGATTCTATCATTACTTATTGTTTTTACCCTTTTTGCTCAATCGTCGTTTGATGCCTATTTCGTGATGCAGGTCCCAGTACCAGTTTTCAGCGGTGATTAGTTCCAGTCTTCATTTGTAGCTGTGACTCGGAGACGAGGGCGAGCACTTGGCGTTTTAGGTTTGTTCGGTCTTCTTCTTTTGTTTTAGCTAGTCTTGTTGCTTTTGAGACACGTTCTGTTGTGGTCCACTTTTGGGACTTGTATTTTTTATTCGATAGCTCTGTACTAGTGTCTTCCAGGTTCTGGGAGGAATTTCTGTATATATTTGGTTTGGTTTGTTTCTGTCTTGTTGTCCTTATTTAAATTATTGTTTTCGCTAGTTTCTGCCCTTTCGCTCATTGCTTGATGCTCTGGGTTACGGGTTGGCTTACCTACTGATAGGGTATAGTAGGTGCCATCATGACTCGAGATATCGGGTCGTGACACTAAAGCTACCCAATTTGGACTGCATATATAGTTTAAATTTGTGCATAAGAAACGTATCATCAAATTATAGAAGAATATGTAATTTTTTATTTGGTTTATCTGATATAGTCACGAAAAGTAAAGTAAAAGATTCTAGTGAGAAATTTATGTTATAGAACATGATTTTCTCACTAAATTTCTATCGGACCAACTCACTGGAAAAATATATGCTAGGAAACAGAGGATCGAGTCATCACCAGTATGTTGGGTTTTGAGCCTTTTCCCTTCCTATGTGGATAAATAAAAGTCCAAGGTTTTGGGTCTTTCTTCCTTTTCTTTGTGGATAAATTTAACCCAAATTTGACAATCCCATTTTTACCCATAAATCCAATATTATGATGCATATGTAAGACTTTCTTTTAGGTCTTATTTGAGATATATCACAAGATATTGAGTGCAACCATATAGAGAGAAAAGTGAAAAAGGGTAGATGTTCGCACAATCCCTTGCAACCAATTTCAAATCGCGATTTCTGCTTCCTTTCTGGTCCGATTGAGCTAATTTTTGAAAAGTTTGTTCTTTTCAACTTAATCTTTGGTTGGGAATTGAGAGAGGGTAATTTGGAGTCCTGTAGCTCCAGATTTTAGCTCGTGAACAGTAGGTGCGGATTTGGTGTTTTTACTTCTTTTATTTCTTTAGTTTTTGGTGTTATCTTGTAGTTGTGTTGCTCATTGTTTGGCACTTTATTGGTGACCATTTTGGAGAACAATTTTTGTATCTCTTGTTGATTTTAGTGGAGCTTTGGCCTTGTGGTTTTTACTCTTCACACCGAAGAGGTTTTCCACGTTAAAATTGGTGTCTCTTGTGTTGATTTATTTTTCTCGCTTGGTTGATTTGTTTGCTGCCCAATCTGTTTTATTCTTGCATTATCTTTTCTTCTCTTGGATCAAATGAAAGGGAAAGTTTGGACTTGGGTTTTTTTCCGCTATTGCCCTGTCGTGCACATTTATTTTGTGCTTGCCTTTCCCAACACAGTAGCCTCTGATGCTAGAGAAATTGGTTTCCTAGCCATTTTGAAGTGTGAGATTGTTGAAAACTATAAGGGGTCATTTGGTACAAACATTGATAATGCAGGGATTAGTAATGCAGGGATTAGTAGTGCATGGATTATATTTTTGTCAAGTGTTTGGTTCATTACTTTCCACTTAATCTTATGTTTGATTTAAAACTCTATAAAAAAATTATTTCCTATTATACCCTTGTTTTATTATGAGTTTGTTTATTAATTTTAAGGTGTGATGTACCACTACGGAGATAATTTATGGCACGGTATATTTCTAATTTTTTGTTGGTCAAGTATATCTTAAACTTAACATAAATTTAAGACTACTTAAATTGTTCAATACCTAAAGCTTATTTCTTTTATAAAAAAAAAAATGATAGTTCAAGTGGTTAATCAACAAACTATCTTGAATAAAAAAATCAAGAAAGATGGAGAAAAAATATTAGTGAAATTATTAAATTATACTAAACGGATTTGGAGAATTAAAAAGGAACATTTATAACCATTCCAATATAAATAAAAAAGAAATTTAGAAAAAGAAATAAGGGGATAGTTTAGTCATTTAGGGGTCTTATCCAAGGTTTGTTAAACCTTGGATTAGCTATCCCTCCATTTTTTAGGGATAAGATAAGACCACATATGGTGGATAAACAATCCATTGACTAAATTAAATAACGTAACCAAACAATATATTAGATGGACTAAATTTAATCCATGGACTATTATATCTAATATTGTCTACCAAACGGGTCCTAAGTGCAATGGCAACTTTGCACGTCAAGAGAGTCAGTATCCTCAGAACAACAATTAAGATGATTGTAAACTTAGACTTTCCCATTTTTTTCACTTATATTTCTTCTTTCCTTGACAACGGAGTATTATATTTTTAATTCTCACCTTGTATATTTTCAATAGTAGAGAACAGCCCTTTATAATATATATATATATATATACTAATAATTACAGCACTTAACAAACGTCGTAGCGTTTGTCAAAATGGCTAAAAAAAATTGTGTGATTAAAGGACATTGTAGCCGGACGAGAATGTCAGAGCATGAAATAGACAATCTTTTTCCAATTTAAGCAAATCTGCCAACAAGAAAAAAAAATGTATTTATTTGGTATGATAATTACAATTTATAAATTTGTAACTTTGCTTTAAATTGAAATTACTTTGACTTTGAACGATTGGTATATTTCCTCTTCTATCTTAGGAAATGTTTATTTTACTACTGACATTTCATATTCTCTCTTTATTTAGTAGTACTCTTTAAATTTTATATGATTTTTTTCCACCTAGCTAGGTGATTTACTTATAATATTTATATTGTGTTATGTCTTATCCTAGATAGTGGTAAATTAACTACAATTTACACTATAAATAGAGTAGTCCTTTTTTTATGAATTGGCTATAAACTCTTAGCATTTTTTTAAGACAAGCAAACCAAATGAATAGTCTCGGACTCTCCAACTACAAATTTTTTATGAGATGTAGTAGGCCTCAACAGGTTTCTCAAATGCTATTCAAACAAAATTTAGAGTTTCACTAGAGTTATTATATAATCCATATGACTAGAGGGAGTCACTTCCAATTCGAAGGTTACGAGTTTGTGTTAGCAAGGAAGTAAAAGGATGAGAGTTCTTAGGGAGTGGTTAAAAAAAATAAAAAAGAATTATAATCCATACTCCATAGATTCAAAATTATTTGCGGTCATGATGTCACATGTTATAACAAATTTCTCTGAAAACTAAAGGAAGGATGTTATGGTACCAAATTAAAAGGAGATCGACACTAGAATTGGACTGATCCTCATATCTTTTCATGTCGAGTCATCCATCAAACCCAAGTGGGGGAATTGGGCCTATATTACCTTACTGGACTGAGGTATATATGTCTTGGAAAAAAGACGCGGCTTAGCTAACAACACAATCCTCTAATTATCTTTTATAGTTATAATTTGAGATTTTATAGCAGAAACATGTATCCGGTATTCCTTTCTTTTTTAGGCATATAATTTTCTTTGGATCTCTCTCCCCCTATCGTCGTTGCCCCTCTTTCTCTCCATCGCTAGCGTGTTGAGTGCTCATCTTCTCCCGGGAGATCTGTGCACTACAATCTGTGTTCATACGCAATTTTCCTTCTTTTTTTTTCATTTGGAGTCCTTTCCATAGTTTTAACTTTTTAAAAAAAAAAAAGTTTTTTTCTTTTTTTCATTCTAAACACCCGATGTTAACCTCAATCAAAAAACAACCAATGTTTACATCAATCAAAAAATATAACCTTGGTGTTTACAATTTAAAGTGAAATAATATAGCACTTGGCCATGGTGTAACTAACTATATAAGGGATAATTGAATTCACGAAAGATATGCATTTTGCATGGTTTAGTGTAAATATTAGGTGCCAATTTTTTTACCACCAAGGATCGTGACGAAATGCTTGAGGTCTCTTCACCCTTAGGGTGCCTTAATTAGATATCGTAAATGAATTTTATGCAGTGGTCAAAACTTCACACTAAAATATTTGTAAAAAATAGTACCTACAAAATACAAATTCAAGCCAAAAGCAATGGTGCGTTCACAAACATGCATGTATTACACAAGATCAAAATAATAATATGATTATAGAAAAAAGTTGACAATAATTAAAAATAAAGTTCAATTTTATTTCTCATCTAATGAGGTTTAAATTAAAAGGCTCTTCCATTGCGGTTGGCAGAAGTAAGAATGGTAAGTATAGCCATGGTAACAAAACCAACAAGGAGTACTCCACTGGCAATACTTCCTCTGTCTACAAATCTTTTGCTTTTGTCCTCAATTTCATCCAAGCCATCCAGTAATTGGTCTATCAATAGTTTGAGTTCAATACTCACACCAAATCCCACGCCAACTCCACTTGCCAAGAAAAACGCTATCACCTGCAAATTTCTCGAGATTTAAATCCAATGAAAGCAGACCCCTAAATCACCGAGTCAACCTCTAGTCTTTGTGTTCACAGGATTCAAAATCAATATTTATACATAAAAGTTAAAAATAATCTGTGTAATTTTTTGTCGAGGAAGATCGAGGGGACACCTAGATCGTTTGTTTTTTTGGCTTAAAAAAATCATAGGTGAATTCAAAATTAAAAGTGTATGGGCAACCTCATATTACTAAATAATGATAATTGGATTCAGAATTAATTATTTCTCCATATTTAATATAATTATTTTAATATATAAACAGGATTAGAATAACCGTTAATGAATTTACTTGAACTTATAAATTAAATGAGACTCTACAGTCGCTCTTGTTAAAATTATAAATGACAAACTTCTAATATCGGAATCTCCGTTAGGATGTTTATTGTTTACACGTTTTACAAAAGAAGGGAGCCTATTTGGTGAAATAAATTAGTTAGTAACACGTGAAAATGGAAACCATAGTATAAAATGCGTCCTAATATGGGTCAATTGGTTTTGTACTATATTATTGTGAAAGCCTTATAATAAATGGTTTAATAAATAGATTTTGGTGTTTATATATGTAAAACATATGTAAGCAAGCTAGTGAGATTCACGATTGGAGTGTTTTATATCTCTTACAAGCACGTCTTACAAATGGAAACTGAGGGAGTACATTAAAAGTATATCTGAATGGATTTAGATCTTATGACTTGTACGTAAATCTTAAGTTATCTTTGTTATTTCAGCATAAAAATAAAAGTACTATAATAAAACTATTTTGGCTTAACAGTATTAAAAGACGAGAAAAAAACCTTATCTCCGTAAAAATCAAACATAAGGAGAAACTGGCCATTGATCAACCTCTTCCCTTTAACGGCTTGATACAACGCGAAAGGCAACTGAATTAATGAATAAAGCACTCCCCCTGCTGCCGCTGCTAACACATACCTGTACTTATAATGCAATTAAATTATTAGCAATTTTACAGATTTAATTACCAAAATAACAGAAAATTTCTTATATATATTTACTTTTAATCTTCTTGTTTTTTTTTTCTCATCACCTGTAGCCTCTAATGTCACTGAATTTGGCTTTGTTACCATCAAGTTTGAAGTTGTTGGTAACAATAAGCGCACCTGCAGCTGCGCACGCCGATAGAGTAAGTATTCTCAGCACAACAATTGAGTTGATTATTATACGTTTAGACGTAGCCATTCAATTGATCGGTCGATCGATTCACGCTTAGTTTTAATTTCTTATTCCCTTAGTGACAACAATTTTAAATGATCATCACCTTCAATATTTTTCACATCCTTTTATACACCACTTAAACATTGCTTAATTGGTCAAAAAGAAATTAATTAAATTTTCTGAATAAGGTCATTGTAGCCGGACGTGAATGTCAGAGCAGGAAACGCGTAATTTCTTCGGAGGGAAATAAAAAAGGCATGTTGATTTTGTAGTTTACTTGTTAGATATGGTAAGAGCTTTGAACAAGAAAGGAATCCAAATACATGCATAATGCTAAGTGTTACTATCGAAACAAAACAAAATAATGAGACACGTAACTTGTTTGCGGAGGCGGGCGGAGCTAGGACGTGGGGTTCATGAGTTCGGACGTATCCAAACGTTTTTTCATAGATCTTATATTTGTACTAAAAATTAATTAAATTTAAATGTATATTAATTTGTGAACCCCTAACAAAATTGATTGAGGGTTATTAACGAAATTTAGAACTTCAAACTCTTAGGATGTGTTTGGTATGAAGGAAAACATTTTTCAATTTTCTCATGTTTGGTTGGGTAAAATGTTTTCCAAATCAACTCATTTTCCTCAAATTTAAAGAAAATGACTTCCCTTCAAATATTAAGGAAAACATTTTCTAAAGCTTTCCTCCAACTTCAAATTACAATTTTGGTGGAAAATTAAATTTAAAGCTTATTTTTAAAAAGATATTTTTCAACTTCAATTTTTTTATTTTTTCATCCCACCCTCACGCCGACCCCCCCCCCCCCTCCTCTCACTTGCCCCTCACCACTCCCCCCCAAAAAAATATTTTAAAGTTTGTTTTTAAAAAATACTTCCAATTTCAAATTTTTATTTTCACCCCACCCCTAACCTCGACCCCCCCTCTGCCAGCCCCCTACCACCCCCTCCCCTAAAAAATAATAATTAAAGTTTATTTTAAAAAATACTTTCAATTTCAAATTTTAATTTTTCACCTCACCCCTACTCCCTCGCCAGACCCTCCCCCTCCCAAAAAATAATAAATTTAAAGATTGTTTTTAAAAAATACTTTTCAATTTCAAATTTTTATTTTCCACCCCCACCCCTACCCCCTCCACCCCCACTACCACCCCCCCTCCCCCCAAAAAAATTGTTTTTAAAAAATATTTCCAATTTCAATTTTTTATTTTTTCACCCCCACCCCCCCCCCCTCCCCCATCAGCCCCCACCCCCCTCAGCTCCAAAATAAATTAAGTTTATTTTTAAAAAATATTTTTAATTTCAAATTTGCATTTTTTTACCCCATCTCATCCTTACCCGCACCACCCTATCCCGCCCCCAAAAAAAATTAAGTTTATTTTTAAAAAATATTTTCAATTTCAATTCAAAAATTATTTTCTACTCTCTAGAATAAAAGATATTTTCTCAAAAATAATTTTTATTCATAAATCAAACGCTAAAAAATCTTTTTCGGAAAATATTTTCTACTCACCAACCAAACATGAGAAAATAAGTCAAAAATGTACTTGTTTTCGAGGAAAACATTTTCCATCATATCAAACACACCCTTAATCCTGACTTCGAACAGAGGTGTAGAGATCCATTATATCCTGGTTAGTGAACCGATTATGAGGAATTTCTATATTGCAAAGTATAATTAATTAATTAGTGATTGAATTATAGATAAGCATATTGCTCACCTTTCTGCAATTACGCATGTCATATTCTTTTAGTTAATTTCTGCCTTTCATAATTATAAGTTTTATGTTTTAATTTTTTTTTCAGTTAATGTGTTGGTTTGTTCATGTATTTTTTAAATTTTCTTTCGGTTGTATCATTATGTTGACTTATAAAAATGTCTCGTGGCATTAAAATAAAGGAAAATTACGTTCTATGTTAATTTTTGAAAAAATTTATGTTACTACGTCTCCGCGCAAACGCACAATTTAATTCATATTATACATTTTATTAAATTCATATTATACATTTTTATATAAGGTTGAGACTTCATATATAATGATTTCCCCCTATATATACTATTGTATAAAATTTTATATATTGGGCTACATGATTTAAATATTTTCAAAAGTCATGTATTTTTTTTTATAAATAAATGACATATGGTCTAGTTTCATGGAAATTGCAGAAAAATAAGATATAAAGTAGTGTTTACACTGACTAGATCTGAAGCTTTATGGGGCGTGTTACCTTCGTTCCTTGCTTCGAGAAATATAAAAGAAGAAGATTCATCAGTCAACTTAATGAAATCGAGTAACATAAACAAGCTTAATTTTACTTAAAAAATAATTAATCCAAAAATTACGTATAATATATTCTCGTGTTACAGCGTTTTCAACTTTGTCACTTTTTCTTTAATCTCTCGACTTACTAATCTGCCTGAAACGCTCTCCGTCAGAAGGAGTAATACATTTTGGAAACTTATCAACAATCATATTAGTAAGATATTTATATCTTTCTATAATTAGATTTATTTATTTTTTTAGCATTTTGCTACATTATAGATTTTATTTTTTGTAGATGGAGAAAGTAGTACATGTACCGGAAGTGATGCTGAATTCAGGCTACAAAATGCCTTTATTAGGCATGGGAACTTTCAACTTTCCTATGCCGCCGATAGATGAGTTAACGTCCATTTTGGTTGATGCTATTAAGATCGGTTACCGACATTTCGACACGGCGGCGGCGTATGGATCGGAGGAGGGAGTTGGGAGAGCAGTGGCTGAAGCAATAGAGCGGGGGATTATAAAGAGTCGTCAACAAATGTTCATTACCTCTAAATTATGCTGCACTCAGGCGCACCCTCAACTTGTCCTCCCTGCCCTCAAAAACACACTTGGGTACTCACTAATTATATTACAATTTGCCTTCTTTTTTTAAATAAATTAAATTAATATCATTTGTCAATTTATTTATATAAATTATTTATGAAAAATTCAGTAACTTATCTTTTCTAAGATTCAAATTTCATAAAGATCAAATATATATTGTTTAGAGTCATTGAAGTTTTTTTTTTTTAGTGTGTAATATTACAATGTATGAGTCACACTATGAGATGTCTAGTATTGCAGCTTAGTTTTCAATTTTTAACTAGGTTATGTTAGTCAGGGGTGGAGTCATAATAGTATTTACGAATTAGGCAAAATTGAATAATTTTGTTGTAAATCAATATCCAAATATATAAGGAAAAAAAATTATGGTCCAAATTCTGTAAATTAAAAATCCTGAATCCAACTTCATTCATAGCTCTCCCTTTATTTACCTTTGAACTTCCCAAAGTACTCTTAATATATTAGTTTATGATTTTAACCTTAGAATATATAATGTAGAAAGTTGGGACTAGATTTCGTGGACTTGTATCTAATACATTGGCCGATAAGCATGAAGCCTGAGATTGATATCCAAAATTTCAAAAAGGAAGATATTGTCCCTTTTGATATGAAAGGGGTATGGCAAGACATGGAAGAGTGCTACAAGTTGGGCCTAGCCAAGTCTATTGGAGTCAGCAATTTCAGTTGCACCAAACTCTCACACCTCCTCCAAATTGCTACCATTCCTCCTGCAGTAAATCAGGTAATTAAGTTAATTTATGGTATTATATTCTATGTTGTCATGCAAGATAATGTGTAGAAGCCTTTGGTGGTTCAGTGGTTTGAGCTTGGGACTTTCATGTTGGAGGTCTCAAGTTCGAAATCCCTTGCCAGTAGAAAGCAAAGGAGTTTTGCCTTCTGGGTCGAGCTTGTTGCACCAGACTTGTCTAGTGCAGGTTACCCCTCTTGTGTGGTTTGTGAGCTATTGTATAGAAGGGTCACTCTGTAGATCCGAGATAGAACTCCGGTCCTGCAACTCCTTCCCTTGATAGCCTTGAGTTGTTGGTTACACCGCACTGGAAAAGCACTCTTTGGGAAATCCGGATCTTTCTCAGCAGGGACAGTACCAAGGATATCTAACTCTGGCAGTCTAAATTTGTCCAATCACTCAAGAAAGCCTATACCCGAAAGAGGGAAACCCTCTCTTTGCTTGCCATTGCAATATCGAAAACCGCAGAAAAGAATGCCCCGGCCTGGTATTTTATTTTGACCGGCAGAAGCCGAACCAAACCCTAAGCAGCGACGGGATGTGCCTTAGTTCAGTCTCGAAGACGGGATAATAGGGGCGTAGCACCGAATATGTAGGAGTAGTCTCACCCAATAGATGGACAAGTCAATAGTACCAATCAAGGAAGCCTTGAACTCTAGAGCTTTCTTTCCTGATGGAGACTAAGAAAATGAGATGAATATAGCTAAACATCTGCAGCAGAAAAAACAAAAGCCAAAAGTCAAGGTGCGGATTTTACCCTGTGCGCACTCAAATAATATCGATTGCGGATTTTCCTTGTCAGAAACAAAAAAGATAATGTATGGAATTGAAAAAATTTAATTAACTGCAATTTTTTACACTATCATATCACAAATTATAATTCTTTATTTCAAATTGCATTGTTACAAAAAGTTTACACTAAATGCACCGATAATGTAAAAATTTCATGACTGAGTGTGTAAATAAGACATGATAGTTACTTTTTTCTTCCATTTTCAGGTAGAAATGAATGTGGCATGGCAGCAACAAAAACTGCTCGAGTTTTGTAGAGAAAAGGGTGTTCATGTAAGTGGGTACTCTCCATTGGGAGCCAACGGTGGGCCTTGGGGTTCCCATGCCGTCATGCGTTGCCCAATCCTCAGCCACATCGCAACCACTAGACGAAAAACCATCCCTCAGGTCTTTTTCCTATCGTCGTATTTATTTATTAGTAGGGTGTCAAATGGGCGGGTTGGATTGAAACTGAAGATATTAAAATGAGTTGAAATAGAAATTTGATTGGGTCATGATTCGCCCAAATTTACTTTCGGTTCAAATGGGCTAAAAATTGGGTTGGGTCATGACCCGTCTAGTTTGATCCGCTTAATCTCAATAATTTTAACATGTTATTATTTGACTTTTATATCACAATCTGGATTTCAACTCAAGAAATTAACAAAAATAAGTTACAAATGGATAGATAAATCTACATGATATGAAATAGACAGTAATTCATACTTTCAATATGAGAACATACATTATACTAATGCAAATAAAGAGTCTTATAACGGGTAGAAGTTGGAGATTAAATTAGGCTCAAATGAAGTTTCTTTTAAAATTGATACTTAAGACTTGAACGAGTTGAGATTGAACCCAATTCAAACTATCTTGAATCCAATCCATAAAATTCTGGACGGATTAAACGAATTACCTATATTTGAACTCATTTTGACACCCGACCTACTCATTAGTATCAAGATTGCATCAAATCTATATGCTTTTGAATATGTCGATGGACTGAATTTTGAAACATGTGTAGGTTGCATTGAGATGGGTATATGAGCAAGGGGAAAGTGTGATAGTGAAGAGCCTTAATAAAGAGAGGATGAAACAAAACCTTGTTGAAATATTCAATTGGGAACTTAGTAGTGAAGATAATTTCAGGATTCGAGCCATACCTCAAAGAAGGGGATGCAACGGAGAGCCATTTATTCATCCAAACGGACCCTACAAATCTATCGATGAACTTTGGGACGGAGAGATCTAATTCTTCGGAAACCGTTTGGTCATAGATTTTGGAAAACAAGAAAATTGGCAAATATCATCATTTTGTCGTAGAAATAAAATATAGTTATTGATTTTTTTCATCTGCAAGAACATTTTCTTTTTGGGTCAAAATAAAATATAGTTATTGTTTTTCTTTTTTAAAATAATAATTAAAACTTACTCAAATAATTTAACGAACAGGTCAAATTTTCTCTCTACAAATTACTCTCTGCCCTCTCTCTATATGCAAGCAATGGAAAGCCAAGGGCCAGTTGTGGCCCCGATGCCCCCACCCCTTGCACCACCAGATCCCACACCCCCTTTAACCAATGAGAAATTGACAAGTAACCTTTCCTCCTCTGTTCCAACGGCTACTTCCTCTTCTATCGCCCCAACGCCGGCCAAAAATCAACCTGTCTCTGTATCTCAGCAACCTAATCTCAACTACAGCACCAATCACAAAGAGAATCAAGTGGGTAGCTCTAATCCCTCTTCTAATATGAACCAAGACCAAAGAGTTTCTCACCCCAATCACAGAAATAATACCCTTAAAATTTCCTCCAATTTTGATCCCCCGCAAAGACACATTAATGCTCAACAAATTGGTCAGCCCCCCATAAGTTCTAATTCTGCCAATAACAATGTCAATAATCTGAAAAATCAAACCTGGCCTCCACTCTCTGTTTCAAAGCCTTCTTTTGCGTCTACTGTTAGTGCATCACTTGCTCAGAGTGTTGTTGGAAAGCAGACAGTTGATATTAAACATGGAACTCATATGGGTATGCCCGCAATTTATTTCACAGCTCAAGATTACTTTGTCAACCTTGCGGAAGACTGTAAGCGCACCAATGTTGGAAAATTTACTAGAGGCAAACCAAGCATGGAAGAAGTTCGAAAACTCTTTGTTAGTCATGTTCCATTGAAAGGTACCGTCAAAATTGCTTACTTTGATCCTAGCCACGTTTACATTGACTTTACAAATGATGCGGATTTTTACCATATATATTTTAAGCCTTTCATTACTCTTGGTCCTTATAGTATGAAGATCATTAGATGGATTGTACCCGAGAATGAGACCACTATAGCTCCTGTTTGGATTTTAATTCATCAACTTCCTTGGCACTTATTTAGATGGGATATTCTTTCCAGAATGGTTAGCTCTATGGCTCCAGATATGGCTACCTACTCCAAATCAAGAGGTAATGTGGCGAAACTTAAAGTCGAAATCGAATTGCTAAAACCCAAGCAAGATCAACTATGGGTGGGCTTTAATAGATTGGATTCTAACGTCGAAGATGGTTATTGGTTAGATATTGAATACGAAGGAGCTCCTTCATATTGTCTCTATTGTGCAATGCAAGGCCATGATCAAAACTCTTGTAGAAACAAAAAGAGAAAGGAAACTTTCAAGTCTAAAGAGATCCCTAGCAAGGAGGTTGACAATGAACAATGGAAAGTTCCTAAAAATGTTAAAAGGAATGCTTACAAGAACAATGATGAAGGCTAATGCAAACTGGTCAAAATCCTCAAAACAACAACAATGGAGCTCGGGAGGATTCACTTCATGACAGCAATACTCATCAGCTTAATACCAAGTTTTTCCATAACCAAAATGATTCCGACTTGAATGTTCAAAGGGCTGCTTCTCACAAGAACAATGACACTGGAAAAGACAAAAAGAAGAAAGTTCAATGGATACCTACACAAAACACTTCCCAGATTATTACCCAACCAAAGTAACCAAGAAAATACAAAGCAAAATTATTCAGCTTCTTTACACGGAACTCAACCTAGTACTTCCCAGGCTCCTATTTCTAATCAAATTCGAGGTACATCAAACCAAATTCATGATACTAGCAACACCCCAGAAGCTTCCGATCCCAAAAACATTATAAAGCCACATTCAAATGCCTAGCCAAACTGATCGTGTGAACAACACCCTTCAAGCTACTAAACAGATTACAATTTTGAAGGATAACAGTCAAAAAATATCACAACACAAACCCCTGGATCCTCCACAAGAACATGGTTCCAACAAATATGAAGCAAGAAATCCCACAAGGATGAACATACAAGAAGAAAATGTTGTTTCTGACTATGAAAGTGATAATGGTGTGGATTCTGATTTTATGACGTCCGACCAAGAACCAGACAACGATGATAATGAAAATCTTATTGTTAGTGATACTGAAGATGAGTATGAAAGTATGGAGGACCAAGTTAACTCTAGTGAAGACAATCTAGAAAATATCTCTATCAATAATGTTGATACTACTATCCAACATGTTGAAACATTTGTTTCTCAACCTATCCCTTCAAATGAAATTGACCAAGCTTTTGACGATATATCTGACAGGCATAACCTATCTCCCAGAGGACTAGAATCTACAAGAGGAGGTCTGCCATACAGAGGAGGTAGGACAGGACAAAGAGGCAAAGGTATTCCTTCTATGAAATACTCACAGAACAATGATGATCTATCCGCAACTTTTTAATTATTAAGTCACTTATTTGGAATATTAGAGGCATCAATTCTCAAGGTGCTTTTGACAGACTTATTCAACTCAAAAGAACTCATAATCTCAGCTTCATTGCAGTCACAGAACCTTTCTCTAATAGATCTAAACTTCATAGATATAAAAGAAGATTGGGTTTTGACTTTGCTCATGCCAATCTCAATAATAAAATTTGGATCTTTGGAGACACTACTCTGGAGTGCAATGTTATTGCTGACAATGACCAAATTGTCACGTGTTCCTTTAATAACAATGGTGTATCCTTATACATCTCTATTGTGTATGCCAAATGTAAGATGCATTAGAGGCAAGATCTTTGGGATGATATTAAGAACTTTGCTACTGTGAACTCTTCTCCTTGGATGGTGATAGGGGATTTTAAATCCATAATTACTCCAGAAGAAAAGAAAGGCGGTAATGCTCATAATATCTCTAAGAGTATGCCTTTTATCAATTGTATCTTGGATGGTGGTCTTCTTGACATGGGCTTCACTGGCTCTCCCCACATTTGGTGTAATGGTCGGGCTCCTAAAAGGAGGATCTGGGCTAGATTGGATAGAGCTCTTGCCAATTCTGAGTGGATCCAAATGTTCTTAGAATCATCTGTTGAGCATTTGGTTAGAACCGGGTCTGATCATGCTCCTATGTTAATCTCCACTTCCAACTTTCTAAGGGAACCAAAGAAATACTTTCGATTCCTTGATTTTTGGACAGAACATGAAGGTTTAATGCAAGTAGTTGAAGATTCTTGGATCATTCATGTTGAAAGGAGCCCTATGTGGAAATTTCATCTCAAGCTTAAGAATGTTTGTAAAAGTCTCTCACACTGGTCTAGAAACACAATTGGTAACATCTTTGAAAAGACCAAAGAGCTTCAATCTAAGCTTGAAATGCTGGAGCAAAATTGTTTGACCAATAACTCTGAGGCTAACAGAATGGAGTATAATTGCACTAATGCTTTGCTCATTAGGCACATTAAGAAGGAAGAATCTTTTTTGAGACAAAAGGCCGGTCTCAAATGGTTTAACGATGGGGATAATAACACTGAGTTTTTTCATTCTGTTATTAACTATAGAAGGAAAAAATTACATCTTTCTAGAATTAAAAAGCAGGATGGCACATGGCTTGATAACACTGACGATATTGTCGCTGAAGCCATTTTGTTCTTTGAGCAACAGTTCTACCAAGAGACCACTTGTAGAGATTATTCTATTCTTAGAAGGTTGTCGAGAGTGGTTGATAAAGATGACAACAGAATGTTAACAGAACTCCCGAACATGGAAGAGCTCAAATAAGTTGTTTTCTCCATGAGCAGTGTTAGATCTCCTGGTCCGGATGGCATATCAAGTAAGTTCTTTCAATTTTGCTGGAACATTATCTCTTCTGATCTGTTGATGGTTATTCTGGATTTCTTTGCTGGTAATGAACTTCCCAGAGCGTTCACACATACCAATCTAGTTCTTATTCCTAAAGTGGACAACCCCCAAGAATTAACTGATTTTAGACCTATTAGTTTGAGCAACTTCATCTCTAAGATCATCTCCAAATTGCTTAACAATAGGCTTTCTAAAATTATGAATAAGATCATCTCTCCTAATCAAAGCGGTTTCCTGAAAGGTAGATCCATTTTCGACAATGTCATGCTTACTCAAGAACTTGTTCATAATTTGAACAGAAAAAATGTAAATGGCAATGTTGTCTTCAAATTAGATATGGCTAAAGCATTTGACAAGGTTGCTTGGGATTTCTTGTGCTTGGTTATGAGACACTTGGGTTTCTCAGAGCCCTGGATTGATATGATTGTTAGATTGATCTCTAACAATTGGTATTCTATCATTATCAATGGAGTCAGGTATGGTTTCTTTAAATCTTCTAGAGGTCTTAAGCAGGGTGATCCTTTGTCCCCTTCCCTATTTGTTATGGGTGCAGAATTGCTTAGTAATTTAATGGATCAACTACCTCTAGACAACTTTATTCCATACTCTATTGATAAAAGTATCCCCCTTATTGCTCACCTTACTTTTGCGGATGATACAATTCTTTTCTCTTCTGGTGATCTTCTTTCTATTGCTATGATGATTAACAAGTTGAATACCTATGAGCAAGTTTCTGGTCAAATGGTTAATAAGAAAAAATCTATTTTTTTAATTTCTGCTAATACTCCTGCCCAGCTTATTGAGGATATTAAAATTCTTACTGGATTTTCTCACTCCCTTTTCCCTATTAACTATCTGGGATGCCATATTTATTCGGGAAGAAAGAAAATTACCTACTTTAGTAGTATGGTCTCCAAAATTGTCAACAGAACTCAAGGATGGTTGGGTAATTTGCTCTCTATGGGTGGCAAAGTTGTTCTTATTAGATCAGTGTTGCATTCGATGCCCTTACATATCATCTTTGTGGCTCATCCTCCGAAGACTATTCTTGATCTTATTGAAAAATCTCTTGCTAATTTCTTTTGGGGGTCCTCGAAAGGCAAGAGAAA